GCAATATTTTTCTTTTCTCGGCAGTTCCGGGTATCTTTACCTGTTTAGAAATGAAGCCTAAAACCTCCATTATAAGCTAAATGCATAGTTAATGTTTTCTTGGAATGTGCTTAAGTCATCCACAAACGAATGCCCACAAAGGGATTACATTTCTTTGGGATGCGGTAAGTGAGTCAGTACCTTACATACACCCAGTTTCTATGACTGGCCTGCAGAGGGTGGAAATGAACCACCAATGAAATTCCTGTCTTATCTTACCTAATTGCTTATTAACATAATTTTGCGGTTTTATTCAGTTTCATAAATAAATTTATTTGTTATTTAAAATGTCATCTTTTTAAATTTTTATGTCATTTTTGCGAGATTTTGACACATCAAAGGTTGTCTAATTTGTTATTTCTAGCCTTTGAGAAAGAAAGAACACAAAATTGCACTTATGATTAAAAACTTAGTTATCAATACTTTTTTTTCTTAAGCCCATACAGGGTGTTACATGACCGCATGTAAAAAAAATTGGGTGTTAGAGGGGATCAAGAGAAGCACTTTTTCCAAATAAACCGAGGGTCCAACGTGTTTGGGAAGTGGTGAAATTTGGATTTTTTCTTTAATTTTTTTCTCAGCAACCATAACAGTTACAAAGATAGGTGGCACGTCTTTGAATAGGTTTTCGGGTATTCCCTATCCGATATTGAGAAAAATGTTTCAACATTCCTACCACGAAAGGGCGCACCCCTACTTGGGGATTCGAAAAAAAATTGTGATTTCGACGAAATTTGACCTTTCGAATTTTCAAAAACTAATTTCAGATTCGTAATTTTCATGTTCAATAACCCCCAGATACCAAATTTCGTCGAAATCAGAATTTTTTTTCGAATCCCCAAGTAGGGGTGCGCCCTTTCGCGGTAGGAATTTTGAAAAATTGTTCTCAAAATCGGATAGGGCAGACTCAAAAACCTATTCAAGGACGTGCCACCCATCTTTGTAACTGTCCATCCAAATTTCACCACTTCTTTGGGGGTGGCACCCAAACGAAACACGTTGGACCCTCGGTTTATTTGGAAAAAGTGCTTGTCTTGCTTCACTCTATCACCCATTTTTTTTACATGATTATGTTACACCCTGTATAAAACCTTCTGCCACCTCGACTATCATAATCCTTTCGCGAGTCGGTATTCTCTTGCGATATTCCCTTCGCGAGATACTCATATCCCCCCCCCCCCCCCCCCCCACCTTTTCGTTCTCGAGAGGAGGAACAGACAGATGAACGAACGGACGGACAAAACTTACATATAAGAGGATTTTTTTCTTCGAAAAATGCCCCTAAAAGTTCGGGGAGACACGCAATCAGACCGAAATCACGCTTTCGTGAAACAGTTTCCCAACGTTTTCTGAAAGCTTTTAAGCAAAAGTCTTATAAAGGCTCTTAATGCCTTTAAAAACGTTTAAGAGTAGCCCTGGGTATCAAGATTTTCAAGATTTTCCAAAATATTCCAAGGATCTTCTAGAGGAGGTTTTTTTAGAGTCTTTAAAATTTTCCAAAAGCAGAGGATTAAAGGGGTCTACTTCCCCAAGCTTTTTCGAGTTATTGAGGTCCTATCAATCTTTCAAGAGTCGAGCCTTTCATTTTAGATCTTTTAAAGGTCTTAGGTAACTCTTTAAGACAGTCTTCAAAAACACTCAAGAGCCTTTAAGGGGAACTTCTTAACATTTGAGATATTTTGTGCTTAAGAGCTTTTAAGAGCTGAGCCTTTCAGAGTTGTTCTGGGCGTATAAGAAATTTTAACAACATCCAAGGGCCTTTGAGGGTATACATTTTTAAAAGGCCCAGAGTTCGAAATTGCTTTTATTTTTCATGGTATTCTAGTTAAAGGCCTCAACGAAAGGAGCTGTTTTCTGTCAACTACCGCACTCCTCTCTTACCCCATATTAAAATCGGGTGAGGGGTATTGGTTTTATCCTTCATGGTACTTTAAGGAAAGGTCTCAACGAAAGGAATTGATTTTTACCAACCACAGCTCTCCTCTTCGACCCATGATCGTGATCTATTATAAATCCTCTTATCTGAAGAGCGGAGTGTCTGAGAAGGGTACCCGTACCCACAAAGGGCAATTGGGGCGTCGGGAGGAAATACATCCCTTGCTGATATCAAAACTTTTAATCTCGAAAACGGCCGGCGTGTAGAAGGAGAGTACTCACAAAGGTGAAATGAATCGTCTGGACGAGGCATATTGATTGTGGAGGTCGAAACAAATATCTCGGAAACGGAATGTCGAAAGAGTGCACTCATAAGGGCAAGTGGAACGTCCGGACGAGACACATCTACTGGTGATGTCAAATATTTCAGTGTAAATATCTGCAGAACGGCGAGTGTCTGAATATCTACTGCCGATATAAAATGTATATACGTGTGAATATTTCGAAAATGGAGCGTCGGAGGAAGGAATGAGGTTTTAACAATGCAAAATCCACACTGATTCGAATTTCAAAGCTGCAAATTTGAATCTTGGAGATTTTTCAAACTTCCAAGAGCAAACTTTAAAGATCAATCATATTCAGCCTTCAAATTTTAAATTAAATGAAAATCCAAGATCTCCCCATAAAATATATCCAAATTTTAAGCTGGAGACACTTTATTATTCAATAAGCCCCTACGTCCCTAACGTGAAACTTTAGGGATCAAACTTGAGGTATCACCAGCTAAACGTTTGGATCAAGACTCAAACTATACAAGCTCAAATCCAGAAGCTTGTAGTTTAACAGTTAGGCCTTAAATCAAACAGCCCTTAATTAAAAGCTTCATTCGTATGGTGTCCGACTCCGAACCCAATTTTGTTGTGGGTTTGGGATGCTTTGGTGGTTCATATGAAATCAGTTTGGTCTATCAAATCGTGGCGTTGCAGTTGGCCAAGAAATCAGAACTAATTATGGCGCATTTATTAGTCAACTATTACAATTTGTTGAAAACCCAAGGCGCTGACACATCTCCGTAACAAAGTTATCTTTAATGATCAGTTTGTAAACCATTTCACTTCAAAAAAAACGATGGATAAATCTCTGACTCGCGTATAGCAAAAGGATTTACCTAGTCGTATTCCGAAAACTGTGGTGCAAAATAGGACAGCGTTAATGAAAATCTCCAACTGCAATTGCTTACGTTGCTCGTCGTTAAGAGGAGGTGACTGACGCGAAACTCTTCCGATCATTTTTGACATATAAAAACGTCGAGACGTCTACCTACTTACTTTCTCGGCCCCAATAAAATTATACCCGCCGCACCTGATCGTGGAAGTTGCCGTCGAAATTTCTTCAACCCCTAAAACCGGGACGTGCAAGGACGGCGAAACATTAAGGTGGTAGCTTCAAGAAAGAGCCATAAAATTTAGAAACAAATCGACTTTTAAGGTGCATATCAATATTGGTGTCAGTTTTCGGTAGCGAAAAGGTCGCATTTTAAAATTAAGATCAAAGGGACGCCGCCTCGAGACCGAATTTTGTTCGTTTCTAGGTAAATTTAGGTCTGCCATTAGTCTTTAAAAGTCGAACGGTTTTTATCTTTTCGGAGAGGACGAATGTTCCTGATGTGTTGCGCCTGTTTTAAGTGGTTTTTAGATAAATAAATACGAGTAAGTGCATGTAATATTTGATACATTCACGAGATGATGTGTGTATGTTTGAAAAGGGAATTACGAAAATGTATGCTCTCATTTGTAGCTAGGTACATACTTGAAATCAAATTAAACTGATTTTAATTACTTGTTAAACGTAATCATTGCTTTATCAATATCCAATAACCAGATTAATCACATCTGAAAATTGTTTCAATTAAAATCGGACAATTAGTCACCAATTTTGTTGGAGTAATTGAAACTGAATTGACTCCGCACTGCAGCACCATCCCCTGAACTTTAAAAATATGACGAGCCATCTAGAATGGATAGGTACCAAAAAAATGAATACTTACGTCCCTTTTTAAACTTGAAATTAAGATTCTGTAAATCACGTATTTTTAAATCTATGGTATTTGAATGACATTAGAGCTTTATATTTGAAATTTATAGCTCACACAATAAAAAAAAGGCCCATTAAAGTTGCAACTGTGGTTTTCCATTAAATACAGCCCCTAATCTCAGGTTTTATCCTTCATAGTACCTACTCTAATAAAAGGTTCTCAAAAAAAGGAATTCATTTCTACCAACCACGCTTCTAGTCCGCGACCTCGATCATGTCGGAGGAAGGCACTCTTAAGACTAGACATAGGACCTACTGGTATGTGTTAAAACCTACATATCGTTGTGTTTGAAGTATAAATCTAGAAAATTGAACCTTAGTGCAAAAAAAGTTTATTAGCGTCCAAAGCTTAAAATTTGATACTTAAAGTTCAAGCTTGGAATTTGAGTTTTCTTAAAATTTTCATTTTCCACATGAGTGATTAGGACATATCGGATGTGGGTTTTATGAGGCTTTGGTGGTTGAAACGAGTTTGGGTATAGCTCAGTTTTTTGAGTTGAGTATTATGAAAGATGCAGGGTGGTTCCAGTAGAGGTCTAATATTTTGTGATTATCCAATTTTTTAAGCCACTGCATTATTAATGAATTTGGTGATCTATATTTTGTGATTAGGTACCGGATGTGTTGTGACCGATTAATCGCATGGGAAAATTTCCTCTGGTGAGTCTGAAGGGGCGATAACACAATCTTAGTGTCTTTTACGTGACCAAAACGGCTGAATCGGAATTACTCCACATCGCAGCGTTGGAAGAATGTGAAGGATCCAAAAAATCAAAAGAAACAAGCAAAAGGAACCAAAGGAAGGTTAACTGTTACGTTCCTTTTTTTTTGTTCAGTTTGTCGTTAGTTTTGTCGCCTTCGAAACCCCTTTATAAGTTTTATTTTGATTTTATTTTAGGTTAGGATTTATATTTAGTTTTAGAATTAGGGATTTTTGTTTGGGTTTCGTTGATGGTTGTATACCAGTGGCGTACCATTCTATAGTATTCATTTTATTTCTTTTAGGACTGTAAGTTACGTTTGGAATTCGCCGTATATTTTTTTTTGTATCTGTGATGCCGTTTTTACCCTCGTCCTATTTTTTTTGGCTCTTTAATCTTTTCCTTATGATTTTCTGCTCATTTATCTTTCACCTGCTTTCTACGTTTTGTGTCGCTTCTTTGGTTTCCTCTGTAGCGTCCTCTATCGTTTGTGTATTGTATTAATTTTTCCCGCTTTACGTTTATTTTCCCGCCTTTTTGTTATTTCCGCTTAGTGTCCGTTACTTTTTGATTTTTCCCCAAATTTCGTCCTTGATTGCGTGATCGTCTTCCTTTTTATTATTTCCGGAGGCCATTCTAATACTTATCGTTTTTGCTGTGCGTGCATGAGGTTCAAAATTTTTCCAAATTTTTATCCAAGCTTAATTGGGATTTAGCCTCTTTTTATTGAGATCTCCAGAAGCTCGGAGAAGTTTTTATTATATCGAGCCGCCCATATTTTGGGGATTTAGCGATCTCGTAAAACACGCCGTATTGGTCTACGATTATCTTTTTTACAATCTTTCGGTGTGCGTTTCCGTTTCATCGTTTAATTGTATTTAACTCCCTGTAGTTCGTCGAACACCGGATGACTCTTCCTTAAGGCCTCCACCACCTTGGCCTTCTTTTCTGTAATTTAATTACTGTACGGCGTCTACCTACTACCTTCATGTAAGCAGCCCCTAAACGACACCATCAGCCGGATCTGAAGACAAGAAGACGCCGTTTACCCCGTTTCCGTTCCCCTAATTGATTGTTCCTTTTCTATTCAGTATTTCCCCTACCGCTTAAGTTTCGTTCCTCTATTCTTCATCCTATTTTCCCCTTGCTCTTTACCGTCCCCTTCTCTCTATATAACTACCCTTAACGTCGCCTGCTGGACTCCGCCAATAGAACCTATGCAAGTATTGTATTGAGTTCGCAAATTGTTTGTTATATTTCTCCTTTTGTTTCGCCCCCCCCCCCCAATCACTCCCCAAGTAAATACATAGATAAATAAATTAAGAATCAAGAAAGGTAACCCCACTGCCCTTATGTAATGTGAGATCTCACAATAAGCAGTAACCCAGTATCTTAGTAGTTTGGTAATTATCTATATTTTCATTGAGTGTTACCCTTTATACCATAATTCCTACCTAGCCCCCATCCCTTCTTTCTCCCCTAGATTATTGTTTTCCCCTCAAAAAAAAACCTCACGCAGTTTGTTTTATTATCATTTTTTTTGTTTTGAGTCACAATTTTGTTATACCTATAGTTTGTTTTACGTCCCAGGCGAAATTAGATTACCTACATGTTATGTTAGTGGCGCCTTAACTTTGATCTATTACCCGCCTAGTCTCTCCATGAGCAGCCGCAGCCGTGGTTAGGGCTATTTGTTCCTTGCTTCCCTGACTTGTTTTGTGCCCCGTTTACTCTGCGTCCTTGACCACGTTACAGTATCTAAACCAGGGACCCGGACCCTAATGAAATATCGGTTCCGGTTCTGTTTATATTTAAGCGAATAAGCGAAGTTCGGTTCTGTGCATTTTTTTCGGTCCATAACGGTTATTTTCGGTTCTAATTTTTAGAAAGTATGGCATTAAAAAAATTCATTAACGTGATTTGTTAATTAATAGGCGTGAAGAAAAAGTCATGAAAACCAAAACGTGACGTATCGTCAGTGTAGTTAATTTATAACGACAAGGGGAGGAAGAGGTAAATATGCATTTACCCTAATTAATTTATTACTAAAAAACAGAAAATTGTATTTTCTAAAACTCCGCCCCTCCTTTTTTATTTTTTTAAAGAAGTAGCTAAATTAGCTAAGATTGTGAAGAATCTGAAAAATTGGTATAATTTCGAGAGATGAAATAAATACAAACATCTGATATATTTGAAGAAACTAAAGGATCGATTGAATTCAATTCAAAGAAAAATGATGATCCAAAATTTTAATAGAGCATCATCTCAATAGATAGATACAGAAAATACCAGGCATCCGAAGAATACAAAGCGAGAACTTGAAAAATTTTGAAAAATTTGAATTATTCACAGAATTAAACCATTATTATTTTTTTTAAATTTATTATTATTTTATTAGCTTGACCCTTAAGTTTTCTCTATGAGTTCCCATTTGGTTCCTGTCGGATTTATAATTACCAACCGCTTGGTTTGATCTAATGTCCAAACGAATATATCTGTCGTCAGATAGTGATAGCTCTTCTGACACATGCCATTAATGTACTGAGCTGCAGGCAGCCACAGTTCCAAACGTTATGTCAATTAGCTCCCTTCGTCGATTATTGACGAAGGTTGGCTCATTACCCACATTAGCTGTTTCTAAATTGTTGTTGATAATATAATTTAGGATAATTTAAAGAACTTTAGGAACCTAATGAATCGAATGAATTTATACTCAAAAATCGGAAAAGTTTGATGAAACGGATAATGAATATGAAGGATTTGAGTCGGTACAGGGTCCGCAAAATCCGAGGAATCAAAAGGATCTTTAAAAAACACAAAAAAATGGAAAAAATATGATATATCTGAAGAATGTCATGAAACAAAATAAGAATCGGAATTCGGAAGATTTTAAGTTAAAAAAATTTAGAAAGATTTAAAGAATTGGAATATTCTGAAGAAACCGGGGATCCCACAAATCTAATATGTTCAAAAGTAAAAAAAAAATTCGAGAAGTGATAAAAGAACATTATAATGGATCTGGAAAGGTCACAAGGAACTTGTCACCAAGTGGAAGGACTGGCAAAAATTAAAGAATGAGACATATTGAAGAGAAACGATAAAATTGAACGAATCTAGAAGAATCGAAATAATATAACGAACTCAAAAAATTCCAAGAAGCGAAAGAAACCGAGGAATGTTAGGAATCCCATGGATTTAACGAAATCGGAAAAAATATAGCAAAATGAAAAATCCTAGATGGATATGAAGAGTTTTAAAAATTTAAAGAAACTAGACATTTTCTAAATACTAAGAGATTAAAGAATCCTATCTGAAGAGCCAAAGCATTCGAAGAAGCATCGGAAACACCCTAGGTGAAGAAACGGAAGATTTTGAAGAATAAATGTTCAACAATTTAAAAAGGTCTCAAGAATTGGCACACTCTGAAGAAGCTGATCAGCGCGCAGTATATAATTTAAAAATTCGAAGAGAAGACTCGAAGAATTCGAAAATAACTGGAAAGTCCGCATAAGAATT